CATACCAATACGAATACATTTTGCTAAACGACAACAATTACATTGTCGACGTGATTCACTTGTTACAGGACAATCTCCATCACCTCGACATTGAAATTCAATTGTCTAAATAATAGAACAAAATATTTATTTATTTATATAAATATGATAACATACACCAAGTTTAACAGCATTTCGTCGAAAAAATGCTTTACATGGTGAACATGTTTGTACACCAAAATTCAAACCAATAGCTGGATCACCACAGACAAGACATATATCACCATCCTTTGTTTTTCGTTTTCTTCCTGGTTTTGTTCGAAATTCAATGTTCATCTATGTATTTAACTATAAATAGAAATACATAAATAACTATTACATCATACATAAAAACGTGTATATCTCGATCGAATATATTTTTTTGTTCTTTTGGAGTAAAGAAAAAAGGAAAGGTATCTATCAATGCTAAATTATATAAAGAATCAACACCCTTATTTTGTTCGTTCTCTTAACGTGTTTCTCAACTGAATAAACACTTGTTTTCTTTATTGACTTAAAACGAGAAAAAAAATGTCTTTTCTTTTTTCTTTCATTCCTGAATAAAAAAAAAGTTTTTATTTACTGTGATTGATTAAGTATCAAATGTAACTGTTTGATCCATAGTACATCAAATAAAATAATATTTTATGACTTTTTCTTTTTTTTTGTTAAAAATTAATTATTCTTTCGTGCATGCTGTTACTAATATTTTATGAAATATAAAATGAAGAAACAAAGAAAAATTTTGTTTTTTTGAAAAAAATCCTTACTTACATAATACAAGAGCGTGTCAATACGAGAAAAAAAAATAAAATGACAGCTTCTATGATGTGAAAAAAAGAAAAAAAAAGTAATATCACTACAACCTTCACCTCCATTCCCGTACTCATAGAAAACGAAAAAAAAATGTACGACAAGGACGATAGAGTATAGTCTTATTAGAAAGTAATTGATATGACAGATGTTATAGAAATGAGGAAATCTATTTCATATTTTTATTTAATTGAAATATCAAGTCGTTTGTTTTTGTCTGATAAATAATATAACTTTTTAAGAGTATACTTCATAATCAAGAAAAAATGTATTTAATTTTTTGGTAATTAGTGGTATAATGAATTAAAATTCTTTTATAATTATTCATTGGTAACTGTCAGAATACTGAATAATTTTTTAACTATGTTTTGATGTGAATTGTCAGTGTTCTTTTTTTTATTTTTTTTCTCACAATATTACTTGAGATGACATTTAAACGTCCTATGAAAATTTCAAAGATGACAGAGAAAGTAATATGGAACAAAATATTATATTTTTTCAATGAATAATTCTTCATTGTTGAAAAAAGGAAGACATCAAGATGCTTTTTGCTATTTCCATAACAACTGATTACATTATTTCATCAGCATCTTTCAATTTTAGTATCTTTTGAATATTATAAAACTATACGATATATATATATATCATTGAAATAATATCAAAAAACAAGTGTATTATAAATATGAGAAGTGATAAAAATAATAGTGCTATAAATTATACTTTAATGTCTTTGATACATTACAAATCAATGTTGATTTATTCTTGTTTAGAATAAATAATTGATCGATTTGTGTTTTTTATATAAATATTCAAAAGTTAATATAAATAAATTTTTACTTACAAAATTTCTATTCATATAAATATAATTAATTTCATAATTTATATCAGATAAAACTTCTCAGTTGTGGTATGTGGAAACGTTCGATAAGTTTATCATGTTTTAAACAGAGTTTGGCAATTATATAAATAAATGATGCGGAAGTATAGCATAAAAGAATATATATTTATAAAATATCACGTCTTATTCTATAAATTCAATAGCACATTTATTCTTATTTCTATAAATACTAAGTATTTTACAGTTAAGAATATGAATTAGACTGTTTAAAGAGAATTAATGAAACAGAATTCCTATGAAAATAAGAAATTCTAGTTTCTATTTTCTTTCAAGATGTGCAATTAAATATTTATATGTAAGATATTTATGCAAAGCATAGAGTATCTAATTTATTAAATATTCCGTCTTGAGAAAAACAATAACAAAAGATTTTTCTCAAACATGCGAAATTATCATATTTGTTAATAAATAGAATTTCGTATTTCTATAAATTTGAATACCTCGAGAATATTTTTACGTATATCTTATCGTTATAATAATATTTCGAAAACAAAACGAGCTATGACGTTATTTATATCTTAATTTTTACATTGTAACTTTTAGAAGAAAGAAAGAATATATACTTTATCGATAAACAACAGTTTTGTGATAAACGAATAAATGCTGTTAAAAGATAACAAAGAAACTAGTTTAAAAACAAATGTTTTTTGAAAAAAGACGACATATGAAAATGTATGCGGTGACAAGTAGGTTAATATTAATCGTCTCCTTTTTACTATTATAAATATTAATAGATTAAAGACGTCAATGATAATTTAGATTTTAAGATCAAAAAACCATTTTTTTGCTTTTTACTCTATTAATTAATCTTTTCATTTGAAGATACTTTATTTGATATTCTATAACACGCAAAGACGGTTTTTATTTTTAATTTTGTTTGTAATTGAAGATAACAATGAGATTATCTTCTAAATCTATTCAACCTAAACTTTCTTTCGAATCACGTCGAACGTCATCTGATAGCAGTAATGATTCAACTGATGGAAATTTCGATGAGTATTTAATACCTACTCGTGCTAAGTCATCCAAAAAAATAAAAATTTGTACTCTATGTGGTCGATATAGAGGTTTGAGATCAGTTCTAAAACCATCTCTCCTCGTATAGAATATCAAAAAGAGAAAAAAAAATGCTAGATATTTTCTAACGGAAATAATTTAAAAATTAATTTTTCCTTCTTTTTTTTATTTTAGCTGATAATTATGTTGATCTCATGAAGAAATATATGATAATACGATGTTTGAACTATTTTATATTCCATGGGTTTGTTCATTTATTCTTTGAATAAAAGAAAAAAGTCTTTTAATGATCACATAATTTTTGTCTACTCACATTCGAATACATCGTTCTTTATTTATAATATTATGTATTCTATTCGTTCTATTTATTCTTCTATTGGGTATATTACTTACTCTTTATGTTATCGTACCAGCCATAGTTCGTTCAACAATTGCAAAAGCTCAATTAGATTTTCGTTCAGTTAATATTGAACAAATTCAAAATGATAGTTTTCGTCTTCGTGCTCAATTAGAATTATCGAATACTGGATCTATTCCAGCAACAATTATGCCACCACTTATTATCAATGTTGATAATTTAGGAATAGTAACTAATAATGAAGCTATTACAATTAAAGGTGATTCCTCTGGTAAAACTATCGTTCCAATTGATTCTCCATTTGTTGTCACAGATTTATCAGCTTTTTATAAATTTACTCATTCTCTCGTTTTTGAATCTAATGTTATATGGCATTTAAAAGCTGAAGCTACTATAAAACCGATTTCAAGCCATATGCTTTCGTATTCAAAAATTCCATTTAATAAAGATGTTAAATTAAATGCTTTAAATGGTCTTCCAAATGTAAGTATTGATTATATAAGTTTAAATCGTTCAGATCAACATCACATACTTGTTGATCTCATTATAAAAATTATTAATCCATCGATATTTAATATCGATGTTGGTAAGTAAATGATAGACTATTACATATTATTAATAATATTATTATTTAATAATTAGGTCAACTCTATTTTACTTTACAATATAATAATTGGTCAATTGGATATGTTGAATCAACTAGTAATAATGTAACGATTCATTCTGGTGAAAATTCTATTACATGTTTTGGTGAATTACAATCAACATCAACAGAATCTTTTCAAGCTTTATCAACAGTTATACAAAATTTTCTTACTGGTCAAATAAGTAAAGTTGAAGCACTAGCTGGTCCAAATGTCTCATCATATCCTCTTCTTGCAATTGGTATGATGGGTTTATCGTTAAATGTTCCTATGCCTCCATTTAATGAACAATTAATTGTTTCATTAAAATTTAATTCAATGTCACTTATTCCATCAATAACAGAAAAAAAAGTTAAACTTGCAGCATCAATTATTATTCAAATAAATTCACCACTTGGTCAACAATCTCCACTGAATATTCAAACAATGGATATGAGTACATTTCTTGTCTATGAAAATAATTCTGTTGGTATGCTTAATGTTTCACAAGTACCAGTTAAACAATTAGATACAATGACATTCGAAACAAAATTTGATAATAAATATTTAATTCTAACTGATACAGGTATAAATTATGAAAAATTTACTCAAGATTTTATTAAAGCTAATCAAACACATCCAATTAATTTTCGTCTTGTTGGTGTAGCTTCGATTGTTGGTTCATTTGCTCTTGGTCCATTACATATTGATGGAATACTTGTTGAAAATAATGTATCTTTAGTTGGTCTTAATGGTTTTAATAATGTTCATGTTGATGGAATATCTGTTGATGGAGAAGAAGAAAGTGCTCTTCGACTTTCTATAAATGTAACTATTGAAAATGCAGGTGTAACAGAAGTTCAATTAGAAGATTTTTCATTATATATGGCCGAAGCACAAAATGGTACTGTACTTGGTCAGATACCCATCGATATTCTTGCTGTAGAACCAGGAAGTAATGAAATTTCTTTAAATGGGTTCGTTTTATTTTAGAAAAGTTTTTACAGGAAATAAAATTTTAATTCTTTTTATTTTAGTCTTCTTGCTCCATTACATGAAAATGATCTTCCAGTAATTGGTAAATTTTTTTCATCATATCTCAATGGTCAAACACAAGAAGTAAAACTTTTTCATAATCAATCTTCTGAACAGAATGCAACTGCAATGGATTTAACTATTAGTGGTCTATCAATGAAAGCAAATCTTAATGGAATTCAAACAAAATTAATTCGCCAAGTTAATGTTTTAAATTTTGGTATTGAATTTGATTCAATTGATGTTAATAAAATTTATATCACAGGTCAATTATCCGTTCTATTTGAATTACCATCGAATGTTCATATGACATTCAAAATATTTACAACAAGTATTGAATTTATAATGCGTTTTAATAATGGATCAGATATGAGTAAAATGATTCTTAATAATATACCTGTTGAACATAATCAAGTAACAAATGAAATATTTCTTAGTTTTACTAAACAACAACTTATTGTTCTTAATAATGAATCTTTTGAAGAATTTGCTGCTAATCTTATTCTTACAACAAATGTATCCGTTATGATTCAAGGGTTAACAGCAGCATTAACAGAAGTACGTATTGGAAATATTACTCTAACAGATATTCCAATTAGTGATACACTTCATCTTACTGGTTATAATCAATTTGATAATGGTCATTTAATTATTGATAATATTGATATAACTGGATCGATTTCATCTCAAGCACTTGCTCTTCATGTTAAAACACAAATTATTAATCCTTCTGTTGTTAATATAATTAATGGTGGTCGTCTTACACTTGATTTATGTGATAGCCTAAATTTTACATCACTTGGTACAATTGATATCAATCCATTCTATCTTCAACCACAAAATAATGCGACAATAATTAATGCTGAAGCTATATTTAATATAACTGAACATAATAATATTATAGCTCGAAAATTTATATCAAATATGGTTTCTGGTATTGATAGTGAAGTAGAATTACGTGGTACATTACCAGATAATTCAACTGGTACATCTATACCATTACTTTCATTAGCTATTGCTGGCCTACGTATTCAAACGAAAGTTCCTGGTCTTACTGGAGATAGACAATTTATTCGAGAAATTATTGTAAAAAAATTAACTGCTGGAGAAATTATTGGTATTCCACTTGGTCTTGTTAAAACATTATCAATACGTGTTCGATTAATAAATCCATTTAGTACATCAATAAGTATTCAAAGTATGCGTATTAGGGCGGATTTTAGTCCAACAATTGATGAAGATCATCAAATTGGTACTGTTGAAGATCATGCACCATTTACTGTTAATCCTCATCAAGATTTGATAACTTCTTATAAAACTGTTACACTTTCAGCAAAATTAAGTACAATGATTGCTTTATTAAGTCCATTACTATCAGGAAATGCTCGTCTTTCATTATCAGGTGTTATTGATGTGACTATTGGTGATAATTTTACTCTAAATCAACTTCCACTTACTACACTTAATGTAACCACAGATCAAGAACATTCTCATTAAACATAAACAATATTAACTCCATTTTTATTTGTTATTTTCTATATGAAAATATATTGATAATCAATAAACAGAACCTTTTTTTATCAATTGTACATCTAAAACAATTTGACTGTTTTAGGGAATTTATACTTATAATTCATTAGGGAATAACTCTACAGTCAATATTTGATAGTTTTCATATGTTTAATATTCCTTAAAAATTTTATTACAGTTAACGTATATTTAAATTATCAAAATTCGAAAAAATTCTAAGATAAATAAGTATAAAACTATATACATGCGTAATATCATTTCAAAGGTTAGTATAGCATTACAAAACTTAAAAACAACTATTACGTAGTAGATTGTTATTTGCACTATCATTTTCTGAAAGGTTTAATTAATAAAAAGTGAGTTTAACATTTTATCGAAAGAATACATGTAATATATATATATATAAATAGAAAACGTACTCAATCAAATGTTGAAATACCTGGTTACCTTTTTCTTCTTATCGTCTATTTAATATTTCTATCTATTGATGAGTTATATGCATACATGTTATTTAAGTGTAACATACCATTCTTGTCAGAATATTCATTTGACTATAATGTGATACATGAAGAACTGATGAATTTAAACTAATCGTTGTTTCTTATTTCTCGAATGAATAAATATTTCTGATTGACACAATTAGAAATATTATTATTTTGATTATTTAATGATAAGATTTTCTATTAAAATATTTATAATGTCTATATTATCTATTTTTATACATGAGAAAACACAGAAATTAGTTTGTATTTTTACGAGAAAAATTATCAAAAAAAAATGGTTAGAACAAATTGTGAAATATGATATTTTAATATATAAAGCATCAATTTATACAACAATTTCTCATGTTCAATAAACAACTTCTTGCTTGATGTATTCTGTTTGTTTTTATTAAGAAATAAATCAACTAACGTCTATCTAATTGATTGTCTATCCTTATATTTATAAAGAAAAGAAATTTAATAATAGATTTTAATTTAAAATATTTTTGTTTTTCTAATGGAATCTTAAATTGACAGTCATCAACAATATTTTTCTCTATAGAAATAAAAAAAAAATTTTACACTTGTGTGAAAACGAATAATCATATTAAAACTTTATTTGATTGAATTTTTAAGTATCTCAAGTAACTACTTATCAAATTTACATTGCAATTTATCCATGCATTCACGCATTATATATCCTAATGCGTTAGTTTTTGAAGAACAAAAAAAGAAGAAGAA